AACAAACCATTTAATACAGGTTTTTCACTTGTGAAACGTGATGTACGGTGTGTTCCTAAAACACTTACCTAAAGCCTTATGATACAAAACAAAAACGAATGATTTTGTGAATTCTATAGATTTTGCACACGATACTGTAATAATTGATGTATACAAGAATAAGCTCTAGATCTTCCCCCAGCAGCATCAGTGGCATCATCTGAACCGTATGCGTGCCATTCACGACTCTCTTCCAGGAAGTGGATGGTCTCAGTGTTGCCATGCCAACCCGGTCCTCTGGAGACCGCAGCATCACAACAGGCTGACCAACACACTGACAGCATCTGAGCTTATTGACATCTCAAAACATCACAGCTCTAATGGTAGTAAATGACACTATTTTAAGAGAACTATCCCTTTAAAGCCACACAGTCGGGGTTAATGACATGCACTAATGGTCAATGTTATCAAAACAGCAGCGTCTAAATGCTGGACTAAAGTATTATCATCACACACTTACAAAAATATATACTGATACTGATACACTAATACTGTGGCATGCAAAGATATTTACAAAGTACTGTGGTATTATTACAAGTCACAAAAACGTGGTATAGGCAGGGCACCATTTAAAAACAGGGTGATATCAGACAACATCTCCATCTTTGCATCTTCTCAAATCGCAGGATGAGAATCTGTTCAAACAAGGCATCACTTCAGATGTTTGTGGTTTTATAAAAATCTCCAGATCTGAACACAGTCCATCGAGGAAACCTGCAATGCGAACACCGTGACTCTTTATCGACACAAGCATTGATTTACTCGATCATTTCGGCGGATGCTGATGCGTCGCGTGCGCTGATGCTGATGCTGAGGTCTCTCCAGCTGATCTCGACTTCAAACAGATCTCCTGAACATGCACAGTAAAATAAAAAAACACAGTCGCACTCACGTTAATCAGCTCAGCTCAGCTCGTTGTGTTCCGCGATGCGAGAACGCGACACTTTATAAAAAAACATTCATTAATAAGTCATTAGCACGCATTAAATAACGCTAAACTGATCCGCAGTTCCTGCAAATCTGAATACGGTAGCAGTCTGGACGCACCTGTCTGACTGCTCGGTTAAACGATTGCAATTAAAATAATATTAATAATTAACAGCAAGCTGTATGATTCTATTATCGTGAACTGTTCATTCGTGAAATGAATATTACTTGGACACATTCACTTCTGATAACAGATCGAAATTGTAATGTAGATGCTTTGTGTGCAGGCTAATGTGAAAAGCGCCATACAAATGAACCTGAATTGAAATAACGTTTGCAGACAGTGTGCCACTGTATGAATGTCTAACAAAAATATAATAAAATGGAACTCGTACTTTTTAAAGTGCACAAGTTGTACCAGATAGTGAAGTAAAAGCATAATTGTTTAAAAAGGGGTCATATGCTGCTAAAAAGAACATTATTTTGTGTATCTGGTGTATCTGGACGCACCTGTCTGACTGCTCGGTTAAACGATTGCAATTAAAATAATATTAATAATTAACAGCAAGCTGTATGATTCTATTATCGTGAACTGTTCATTCGTGAAATGAATATTACTTGGACACATTCACTTCTGATAACAGATCGAAATTGTAATGTAGATGCTTTGTGTGCAGGCTAATGTGAAAAGCGCCATACAAATGAACCTGAATTGAAATAACGTTTGCAGAGTGTGCCACTGTATGAATGTCTAACAAAAATATAATAAAATGGAACTCGTACTTTTTAAAGTGCACAAGTTGTACCAGATAGTGAAGTAAAAGCATAATTGTTTAAAAAGGGGTCATATGCTGCTAAAAAGAACATTATTTTGTGTATCTGGTGTATAAACCACATGTGAAGACCCCGGGCTGGACTCTGCTTCGTCCACGGTGAAAGCCGATCCGGCGATCCACAGCACTAAGTTGATGTATTTCCTCAGCGACCAGCACGGATCAGCTCTAGGCATGACGAAGTGGATATCGTCCTCTTTTGGAAGACCAAACAAAGTAGTTTGACTTTCACTTCTTTCTTTGCCTGAACATTTGGGTGGCGTTATGCAAATCTTCCCACATAGTGAGGTAGATATGTGGGGGCGTGTTAGAACGAGGCGTTTTAGGTAGGTGTGGCTGACTCTTAACTTTTATACAGAATATCTCTTTGGATTTGAGACTTTAGTCTTTGCAACTTTACAGATCTTCTTTATGCACCAAGAGCTTGTAACACTCCAAAGAGAAAGGAAAAATTGCAATCACATCATATGACCCCTTTAAACACATCCACGCATCTCAGCATAAACTGAAAACTAAACTACAGCTTTCACCGCAAAACAAACGACTAAGTTCAGCTGAGAAACATTATACGTGTTAATTTAATGCTTACATTTACTCACTCAATACCAGCACACTTCTGGTTCATGTTTCAGCGTCTCCAAACTATCCTGTTCAATCCGGAATTAAGATATTATAAAAATGAACATTTGGAATTTCGGTAAAGCTGCTTTGAAACAATGTGCAATGTGAAAATATACAAAATTGAGTGCAAGTCCTGGAATGTAAACAAAGAAACTCAAGTATAAATATACAAAGTAGCCTAAAGATTCCCAGACTTAAGCTTGTTACCACTATATACTGTATATAGAACTCATATATTAGCTATATATGACTCATACAAGACACACATCAAACTCAACATTTATAACTAATGTATATCAACTAGTGTAATGTAATTGTTTGATTTATTGATCTTTACTATAAGAGCTACCTAAGAAATAAAGATCATCTGTAATTACAAAGCAAAACATTCACAATTAAAAGGTAAGACGACTTCGATTAAATATACACAGCTGAACGAAAACCTGCTAACTTACCTTTCACACTGACAGGTTAGCAGCTGAGCTGAGAGAATAATAATAATAATAATAATAATAATACAAACTTATACTATACATGGGAAAAAATGCAAATCTATTTCAATGTGCATTCAGTAGAATCTAATGATTAATGATACTGGAAATAAAATGATATTAAAAATTAAATTTCTATGAATGATCAGTGAGTCAAAGAAACCCAGTTCACTTTTACCTCTAAACACACTGATAGTTTTACAGCTGAGACACAATCTGTTTACGGTTAACACGCATGACAAAAAAACAACCAAAGATCTGATGCTTCGGTCTTCAGAGCAGCTGCATGTCACTTTTATTTAAATGAACTCTTCACTTCTTTTCTTTTCTTTTTTCTCTGTAAAATCTCAAAAAACAAAATCAAAACACTAAAAGGAGTGTTAAAGTCTTGATTTAAAACACAAACAACAGTGCAGACGCATAAAAACATACATCTTTCAGCTGTTTGTAAACTCTGGACAGTTTGGCAGAAACGCCGTCAGCGCTCGTGTCTTAGAAATGCTTGTAGAATCATTATTGCGGTTCAGCCGATACAAAAGGCTACATGAGTACGCTTAAAAAACACGAGACACGCCAATCGCAGAAACCCGATAATGCCAATGTTCGTAAAACACACCCAGCAGTGTATAGTGCACAATCAACAATGCACAGCTGCACACAAACACAGAGCAATAACAGTCAAGTGCACACATACACCCGGTACAGACCTCCCTCCGCTCACTTGAAAGCCTTTGAAGATAACTTGTATAGCCTTAGCAAAAAAAATTAAAACAATGTACGAATCGTATAAATGTAACAGCAAACCTGACGAAACAGTTCAAGAAGGGAACAGTGGAAGGTCTGAATGAGAGAATCCACAGGCAAGGAACGGACCTGCGTGAACCTCCCAAAACACGGCTTTTTCACTCCGGAATCACAACGAAATAATGAAAATAAGCTAGTTTTAAGGACAGTTACAATTCTTTGCATTGCCACGCTCGTTTTGCAATCAACATTTTCCGCCAAGTTCTCATTACTAGCTATCATGCAGAAAATGGCATTGTTTTAAAATGTAAAGCGTTTATTTATCACGATACTAGTTTGTTTTAATTACAAGCTAATTGCGTTACACTATTTCACTGTAGCATAGTAAATATTTTACGGTCACGGCAATGAGAATTAGAAAACATCTAGCATTACAATACTGAGATCGAGTGAGTAAATGTGCTCAGCCATCCTTAAAATAATCACCCAAAAAAAATCTGGTCCTAAAAAAGGCTCGATTCTGGAGTGAAATGAGACCTAGGTGTGTTTTTTGGTGAGTTTCACGCATCTACCAGCTTCGAATGCTGTTGCTCTCTAATTAAATCAATAAATCTGCTGTCGAAGAGTCAAACAGTGCCTGCATAACATCAAGTCGTTCAGTTGAGCAGTGTGTGTGTGTGTGTGTGAGAGAGAGAGAGAGAGAAAGAAGGCCTTTAGGAACAGTCCCTGTATTCGAATACATGAAAGCTTAACACTGGCAATGATGAGAATGTCTGTAAGCAAATCCCTATGACACTCACACTGCACCTGTGTGTGTTTAATATCTCACTGGACAGATACAAAAGCCTGTCGACACATTCAGTGTTTGTGTGGAAACGTAGCTCTCTGAATATGAGTGTTTGTTCAAAGTGTGTGTGTGTGTGTGTGTCTGTCTTAAAGCTGCAGTGTGTCACCAGAAACAACTGCAAAAATATTGAAAACATACAGAGGCCACACATTACACTTTTTTTGGTGACTTATTTTTCATTCAATAAATAAAAATACACCTCCAGAATACGTTTAATTTTACATATAGACATGTAATTTACCGGTATTTTTTTTTTTTGCATTGTGATATTTTCATGACAATTCCGCTAGCATTTATTCATCACAGTAATATTTGTTGTACAACATATATATATATATATATATATATATATATATATATATATAAATAAAAACTTAGCACATATATATATATATATATATATATACACAGTAGTCAACATTGGATCAAAAAATTTCATGAAAGTTGTCCTAAAAATATATATATGTGTGTGTGTGTGTGTGTGTGTGTGTGTATATGTGCATTAATGCATTACAGTAATTAGAATTAGCTGGGAACTGTCATTAAAAATAATGTCACAACACCAATTTCTTAATGGCCCTAAAATAAACTTATGCACAGTATAAATTCTTTTTCCTTGGAAGTTTAGGGTCAAAAAAAAGAAAAGAAATGTTTTCATGAGATTCACCCTTGTCTTGTGAAAACTAGACTGAAATATTATAATAATGCATGGGCTTCCACATGTTTGGAAACAATCATTACATTGCAGTTTGACACACTTTAAACTCCACGTACCAGTTTTTCAATAACTGACTGCTGTCAATCACAAACTGTCTGTCCCGCCTCCAAGCAGGTTGCCTGGCAACAACCCAGCTGTGCCATCCTCTAACTGAGGACCGCCCCATAGGCTGCTGCCATGGTAACCGAAAGCCACGCCTCCCCAGACCCCTTTCCCCACCCCCTCCCCTGCGCTGTTGCTCCATTGGCTGAGGAGGGCGAGTCCCGGCGCTTCCACCGCCGCATCTCTGTCCGCTCCGGCGCCCACGGGACGCTCAGCCTCTCGCGGGGCAGGGTCAGAGCCAGGCGAGCCATCGGGTGACCCTGCAGCCTGGGAATGTGTGAAGTAACGGACGACGTCCTCCTCGCTCATGAACTCGGCCAGGATGGTGGTGTTTCCCAGAACGCACCTGAACATGAAAACACTTCAGATCACTAAAATAGTCAATAAAACTTACTAGAAAGTTCTTGCATTCATGTTCGAGATTTATTCAATTTATTAACATGTTAACACTTCCGGGGTGTTGATGTGACCTGCGTTGTGAACTCAATCAGGCATGTTTTGCATCAACCAGCCATTTAACAACAGTAAATATATTTGAAACAGGTCAAACAGTTATTGATTTTGACATTAATACAGTATCAGTAAATGGAGAACTCTAAATATGACGACTGATTGATCTGTACATCTATGCAAATAAAATATCTGAAATATTGAAACATCTAAATATTGTATATGAATAAAAAGAAAATATCATTGTATTAAGTTTTTATAAAATTATGTAATTATATAGTATAATATTATACAAAGCATAACTTAAATATTTAAATTCTATATAAATAAAATTAAACCAATAAATAAATACTGTACATTTTGTAATTGTATAGCCTAGTATTATATTATACAAAGTATAACTTAAATGATTAATTCTACTAGGGGTTATTATAGTTAACTAAAACAAAAACTATAACCATTTTCTTGGAATAAATGTTAATTTAAAAAAAACTTGATAAACAAATGAATAACTATATAGACATTTAAAAACAACAAGTACAAAAGATGACAAAAAAAACAACAACAAAAATACTAAAACGTAAATAATAAAGAAAAAAAAAACTTAAAAAAAAAAAATTAACATGAAAGCAGAAAATGAAAATAAAACCTAATTTACAATATTAACAAAAACTATAATAGTGTCTGTGTGGGTAACCATGGCACCTAACGTTTTTGCTGCTACAAACGTGATATCGCCAGCTACAGGGCACTGAAGGTACTATATCTTGTGTGTTTCTGCCTTTACTCACCCAAACTTATCAGCGAGGCTACTTTACTGAACGTGAGCACATTAGCGGGTAGCTGTGAATCGCAGGTGTTTCATATATGAGCACGTCTAGTGCAAGAAGGCTTTGACTACTTAATTTTACTTAATATGTGACCCTGGAGCACAAAAGCAGTGTTAAGTCGCTGGGGTATATTTGTAGCAATAGCCAAAAAAACATTGCATGGGTCAAAATTATCGGATATTATCATTAGGATATTAAGTAAAGATCATGTTCCATAAAGATATTTTGTAAATTTCCTACCGTAAATATATCAAAACTTAATTTTGATTAGTAATATGCATTGCTAAGAACTTTATTTGGACAACTTTAAAGATGATTTTCTCAATATTTTGATTTGTTGCACCCTCAGATTCCAGATTTTCAAATAGTTGTATCTCAGCCAAATATTGTCCGATCCTAACAAACCATACATCAATGGAAAGCTTATTTATTCAGCTTTCAGATGATGCATAGTGAGTGAGTGGGTGAGTGAGTGAGTGTGTGAGTGTGTGTGTGTGTGTGTGTGTGTGTGTGTGTGTTTGAGATAGTGTGACTCACATATGCAGGGCGCTCTGGGCTTTGGCGGCTTCATGAGGGCTGCAGTAGCGAATCAGAGCGCTGCCCTGCGTCAGGCCGAGGTGAAAGGTCAGAAGAGGGCCGTGCTGCAGACAGATCGTCTTTAGGGTCGAGCCGTCAATCTGCACACAAACCACAGGAAAACACAAAAATCAAATGCTTTGCTGTACTAAATATCCTGACAAATACAGTAAAACCACTTAAAACCGACATGCAATTAGCAGCAAATACTTCAGGTACACACCATTGCTGCATTTATTTGATCAAAAATAGTTTAAAAACTGCTAAAACTGAAATATTATTACAATTTAAAATGAGTTTGTGAATATATTGTAAAATGTCATTTATTCCTGTGATCAAAACTGAATTTTCAGCATCATTACTCCAGTAATATTACTTTTTATCATATTTTTGATCAAATAAATACAGTGAGCAGAATACTTCTTTTAAAAACTTATTAAAATCTTTGAACAGTAGTGTGTGTTTGCATTTATATATGTGTGTGTGTTTGTGTATATATATATATATATATATATATATGCATGTGTGTGTGTGTGTTTGTACACACCTGCGGCGTGAGGTTTCTCAGTAACAGCCATGATTTTCCCGCTGAAGCTCCACCATCGCTCCACTCTGAAGAACACGGGACATGAACAGGTTGCTCTTCACATACGTCTGTGTGAATGTGTGCTTGCAGTACCTGATTTAAAGGGCGGCTCTGGGCCGCTGGCTCCGCCCCCCCACGCCCTGGGCATCCAATGCCCCTCCCCCGCCCACAGCTGCTTCTGACTGGAGAGACCCGGAGGGGGGCGGGACAGGTGAGAAGTGCTGCGATTGGTCCGCCATGATTTGCCGTGTCCGATGGGCTCCGGCGGCCAACTGGACTTCAGCTCGGAGTATTTAGCTGGAAACGGCATGAGGAGATGCGAAATTCTACCAACATGCTAAATACAGTTTAAATGAAAATGCGCAAAGGTTTTTAACCCACCGTTACCTGTGCCGTGTGCAGCGAGGGGCGTGTCTGAGGCACTGTATGGCCAGGCACCAGGTGAAGGCATACAGGTGTTCAGAGAGTTTGACCCTGATCACAGACAGACACACAGTTACATTTTCAAGTATGCATAGCAGATCAAATTCCTAAGGCCTCTAAATGAAAAAACTTTGCTGAAATAAAACTGAACACAATCTACTGCATGCCTTCTGCTGCCTGATTGATAGATTAAACTTTAGTTTCCCCCCCCCAGTAAACTATACAAACGTCCAGCTTCACATGATTTTCTCGTGTCGAATCTTGACTGATTTTATCAAGTAAAGGTCAGAATAACTGCAGTCATATCTCCAGATGAACTCTTACTGGACTGAAACAGCTCAGCATTACTTGATTCTCCATCAATCATTTATTAGAGTCTCAAATCTGATCATCAGGATCTTTTGAGGAGCCTCTACTTCTTCATCTCTCGATCGCTGCATTATATGTTGTGATCATTTCAATCTCATCTTACTGAGAATGGAGATATAGAGTGACGACTGATATTTATAGCATTTTATGTCAGTATCAAGTCAAGTCAAGTCAAGTCTGCTTTATTGTCAATTCTTCCACATGTACAGCACATACACACAGAGAATTGAAATTGCGTTACTCTCAGGCCCTTGGGTGCATACAGATAACATAAATACAGATTAAATACAAAATACAAAATACAACTATACAAATAAGGTAAAATGTAAAAATATATATATAAAGCACAAGGCATATGGAGGATAGAGTGCAAACCAATACTCACGACAATATGCGCGCTTGGAAACAAATAGACGCGACGAATGCGTACAAAAACACTGCGACTCACAAGACAAAAAACACGAAAACACCTTTCTGTCGGGAGAGAGAGAAGCCGCAGCGTGTGAACGCGCCGCCATTTAAATGCTACCTGCTCTATACTGTTAGAAAGATCTCACTGATTTACATTACAAGCATTTTCATCTTTTTGATCATATAAATATCAGCATCTGCAGCAAATCGCATATTTTTGCTCAGTTTGAGTCGCTGTTCAGTTTATAATATATTCACATAGAGAACAGCTATTTAAAATTATAATTATATTTCACAATATTACTGACTTTTTTTTATTCTTTAAAAAAGAAAAAATCTAATTCTGTTTTTTTAACAGTAGTGTGGCTATGCCTAAGAATCAGATTTGAGCTTTTGATAGTGAACAAAGTCAAGACAGATTAGGTACTTCAAAACAAGGAAATCACTAAAGCTCTGGTGTGAGTGTTACCTGGAGGCCAGGTGGGGTTGACAGGAGGTGTGTCGACCTTCCCTCCTGTGCTTCGGTGCCAGCTGCCACCCAAAACATCGTATTGAGAGAACGAGGAGCCACTGGCCTGCTTGCCCGGCCCTGAACACACACACACACACAGAGCTCAACATCTATCCAATCAGTGCTACTGTCATTCATTTTCTCAAATTACATTTTTTTTTCCATTTTTAATCATTAAAGAGTCATTCAATTATTCTAATCAAAAAGAATGTTTAATCAACTGAATTAATAAAACCTTTAAAAAATATATATATATATATATTACATATATATATATGTAATATACTAACATTTGAACAATAACAGATACAATGCTATGAAATGTTTTGTTGTTTTTCCAAAATTTTGTGCTGTCCATTTTTCTGGATTCTGTGTTTTATGATTTTATTAATAATAAATGTATATATATATATATATATATACACACATACACACAGTATACATTCATGGTAATCAAATGAATCCACAAAACTTGAAATGATATATCAGACAATTTCATGGCAAACTCTGAGTACATAAAAAATTGCATTAGCAATTATATAAGCTCTTTCACTTTTATATTTGAAAATAAAAATAATTGATATATTCACATTATGGGATTCATTTGTTTGTTTATTTTATTTAACATCATAGCAGCAAAGGCTATTTCATGGCAAATTTCAGAGCAGTATAAATTCAAATCATCAACAATAAAACTTCAATGACAAAGAAAATTAAAAATTAAAAAATTCTTTACAGCAAAATAAGAACATAGCTCTTTTTTAGAAGCTCTTAGACTTTAAATGAAACTTACAAATGAAAATCTACTCATCCTCAGGCCATCCAAGATGTAGATGAGTTTGTTTCTTCATGGGAACAGATTTATTTAATTCATTCATTGAATGAATGAAACATTAATTTCTCAAACATTCATCAATTCCTTTAATTACATTTTTGAATAAAACCATCCTCTAATATCATTTAAAGCAGCAAATTCCAATAAAATATGCTCAACAGTTAAAGGGATAGTTCACCCAAAAATGAAAATTCTGTCATTAATTACTCACCCTCGTGTCGTTCCAAACCCCCTAAGACCTTTGTTCATCTTCGGAACACAAATTAAGATATTTTGTGGCATGTGGCGGCGCTGACCCATATCCGGCGTAATGATGTTATAACGCAGGATCTGGGTCAGCCCCAGCGCACGCTCGCGTCATGATACTGTCGTGAACGCGCGTCCACAAGTGACGTAGTAGAGACGAAAATGTGGAATAAAGCCGTATTTTTGCTTTCTTTGTGCAAAAACGTACTCTTGCAGCTTCGTAACTTTGCAGTTGAACCACTGATGTCACACGGACTACTTTGTCAATCATCTTGGTACTTTTCTGGACCTTGAACGTGGTAGTTACCTTGCTGTCTATGGGAGGGTCAGAGAGCCCTCAGATTTCATCAAAAACTTCTTAATTTGTGTTCCGAAGATGAACAAAGGTCTTACGGGTTTGGAACAACATGAGGGTGAGTATTTAATGACAGAATTTAAATTTTTGGGTGAACTAACCCTTTAAAGACGTTCATTCATTCATTCATACATGTGTTTGAGGAGGTGGGGTCCTCACCTGTGAAAGCAGCAGGAGCTTTGCTGTGCAGCTCAGATCCTCCCATGGCTGCATGCACTGGCCCATCAGACTGTTTGTGTGCATTCATGCCCAGCTGGTGGAGATGTGCGTCTGGGTGTTTGGGGACGTGTCCTCCCATGGGGGGCGGCGAGAGTTTGGGCCCACCAACACCCTGCTGCTGCTGCAGAATTGCCATGATCCGCGCCAACTACAAAGAAAACATACGTTAATGAGACAGACTATGTCCATTCAAAATGTTCTTTCAAAGCATGGGTATTTGCATTACAGTTAATATACCTAAAAATCCTTAAAACAAAATGAATTTATTTTTAGAAGCAACACGGAATAAGATATTAAGACTTATTATAGATTTCATCTTGATTGTAATGTTATATTGACCTACGCATAAAAAGTGTAAATCTGCCAGTTTGCCAAGTAGAGAAAATCAATGAAAACAGGAGCCAGTTGCATAAAAGGTTTAGACTGGTCTTACAAGATAGTAGGGCTGGGTATCGATTCAGATGTCCTGATTCGATTCTATTTCGATTCTCGATTTTTTATTACATTCAGTGAATATAGTTAATACAAATGCTATTGATATTTCTCAAAAAAATGAACAGTAAACATCAGTTTACAAATGGTGAATTAATAAAAAGAAATTAAGCCACATGCCTGTATTTTAAACCTATACTTTTTTTGTATGGGTCCTTTTTTAAACAATAATAGGGCCCTATAAAATGTTCTTAATTTTTCTGGTAATCAGATGAAGGCATAAAATATTAATTCAATTTATCCTAATCAAATGAAAATTAAACCCTTTTATTTTTTGGCAAACAAAGTGCAGCACAACAGAGGTTTACTGTTCAAATTAAAAAGAAAACAGATGTGATTATTCCTTTAAAAATAAAGATTTATTAATATTTATTAGCAGTAGTAGCATTGAGTCTTCAGACTGCTAAACAGTAATATATTCTGACAGTTTCTTAACGTTAAACTAAACTTTTTTGACGGGTTGCCGTGAAGAAATTGCAGCTGCTGTGTTATGTGATATGACGGTAGTTTTCTCAAACGAAACGGTAAATGCTAATGAAGTGACCCTCAGAGCAGCTGAAGATGACATTTTAAGATTCACGTTAATCAGATCTTATTTTAAATGTGTGCTGAAATAAATCCCGGAAAAGATCGATTCGCGGCTTTTGAGAATCGATATCGAATCGACATAGTTTAAAAGAACGATTAATTGAAAAATCTTTTTTTTTGCCCAGCCCTACAAGATAGTCATCTAATTTTTTTCTTTAAGACTAGTCATGATTTTTTAAAATTCAGATACATAAAAGCATAGATTACTCAAAGTTACCATAAATCCAAAAATAAGACTGATTACTTAATGGCTAACTGCTGGTTGGTCAAACTCATACCTAAGACACTGTCTTAACACAGAGGTTAAGCTTATGCAACGGGCCCCAGGTCTTAATATCTTGTGCCAAGAATTTTTAGATACTTTAGCAAGGGGAAAAAAAAAAAAAAAAAAAAAACTAATTTGTATTAAGAAGTCTTTTTTATTTTTATAAACAGTGTTGAAAATTCACTAGTGCAATTAGTTATAATAATTTCATAGGATTTAAATTTTTTTTTTAAATAGAAACCATTTAATGAACTCTTAAACAAAATCTTTAAATAAGTCAGCATATGCATTTTGTATCATATTTGATATATCAGGCTTGTATGGCTCATATAGTCTGATATAGTGAGAATATGGAGGAAAAAACAGCTCAGTTTTATTCAGAGACAGTTTTACCCTTGCTGATATTTAAATGTATATTTATATGTATGTATATTTATTTGGCCAAAAGACAAAGAATGAAATTCTGATAGCTTGTAATGCAAACCAATTGTAAGATTGATGATCAAAATGTATGATGAAATGCTATACAATCCTGACTGAGAGGTCATTAAAAACAAAAATGTTTCTAAAAAGCCTGATGATCATATTTGATGCTGACATTTGATGCTGACATTTGAATATGACTTTATTTATTTATTTTTTAAATGGTGAATGGACAACTAAGGAAACTTGAGTTGCTTCAGTCCAGTAAATGTTCGTCTTGAATATTAGTCAGTAGGGGGCGCTGTGCTGTTATTTGGATGCTGTACCTGCTGTGGGTCGTGCTGTTGTCTCACAGGAGGAGGAAACTTCCTCTGATTCAGAAACTGCTGCTGCTGCTGTTGTTGCTGCAACAGGAGCTGACAGGCCTGAGATAGAGAATGTACATAAAACATTAAAACAACACTTTTTAAACACCTTACATCATAGGGCTAAATGTGATACATACTAGTTGAAACTGTTGCATGTGTGGATGAATGCCACTGAGCATGGCGAGGTGTTGGGGGGAAAGCTGTGGAGGGAACATGCCTCCACTAGGGGGTGCCATTGGCTTTAGAATTGGCCCAGGAACCTGCAGAACAACGGAGGAACCATGATATGACTGTGAGCTAATAACATCCATTTATCAGTGTTAAAACCAAGAACACAAACTGACCTGAGGCGGCAGGAACTGATGAGGCACTTGTGCTCGTATCCCAGGGGAAGGGTTTAAGGGGTGCACACCAGCCTGATGAATCCCTCTCAATGGTGGAATCCCACCACCGCCAAACATACTATGACCTCCAACCTTCAAAATAACAGCAAAGAAGAGCAACAGCTAAAGCTTAGGGCTTTAGAGGGTTTTTAGTTCGAGTCCATTAAAATCTACCAATGGACTTTCACCCTTGTGACCTTGAACAGCCGGCATGAAACAGAAGCGGCAATGGACTTCCGTATGGTGATGTACTTTCGAGTGAAACCGCTTGTCGAATATGACCCCAAAAAAAGCACTTGATATTGAGTAGCATCAGATAGATCTGATCTCACAGGTTGCTCCAGGGTCACTCAGGGCTGGAATAAGTCCAGCTGCTTTTCGTTCTCGAGAGGGTTTCTGCTTTTATATGCCATGGGATATTTGTTATTAGATATGACTCTCTTTGTCCTTCAGTGAAGATGGGATTGGATGCGTCTCAGTACCTTGTCCATGTAAGGTCCGGTCTCCCCGCATGGCGTCTCTTTGGACATCTGTGAGCGGAAAGCTCCCCCAGTCCTGCCGCCTCTCCGCATCTCACCATCATTCATTCCTCTCCTGTCGTGCCTACTATCGTGACCCATACTGGAGTCTTCATCCTGAAAAACACATACAGCATATTTCTACACAGCTGCAGCAACACACAAGAGCAGATCAGCAAAGTGGTAACGACGAGCTTACCATAACACTCATGTTTGCGAACTGCCGAGTCACAGGAGATGCCCACGAGTCCCCACTGTTGCCTTTAAAAGGGCTCTGGGGGACAAACTAAAGGGTCATTTAGGAGTCGATAAGTTTTCCCTAAGTCAAAAAGCCTTGGGGAGGTCAAAAAAGAGCTCCCAACATACCTTAGCGTTGAGTCTCCTGGCCCCCTGACCTTGCCCCCAGCCCCCGGAGTTGTATGTGGACATGTTGCTTTGAGATCCCCGACTGCCCCAAACACCAGTGCCACCATCCTCTTCCTCCAAACTGGAGTGTCGGGATACATTCGAGCCTTCCTCACCCCATCCCTCTTGCATAGACTTTGAACCTTAATAGTAAATATGAAGATCAGCTCAAATGACACACTTGAAAAGTTCCACAATTAATTGGCAACACAATCACAATTACGGCTGCCATGATTACCTAATTGTTACCTAATTGTGAAAATACTTAATTAACAAGCATTATATTTAGATTTACTCTCATTGTATCAAATGTTACCATTTACAACATTTTTGCAGTGCTTAACATTTCCATTCATCAACTCTGCAAACATATGTGTGATTGGTTGCAATAGCAAACGCAATAGCAAATCACCAAACCAAAATAATGTTAGTGACCAAATATGCAATTATGTCCGGCAATTTTACTGATTTCTAACAGAGTGCTCTATGGACCAGTTTGGAGGTGTAATCTATATAAAAAACACAACATGCAGTTACCCACAACAAAAAAAGTATTTTAATGTAAATACATTTGAATGTAATCACAATTTCAATATCAAGGGAAATAATCAACAATTAGGATTTTTGCCATAGTCATGCAGCCATTTGAGAAATCCCATTTTACAGTTGTTCTCAGGGTTGCCAGATCAGCGGAACAAAACCAAGCCACTGGCCAATAAAAACTACTTCAATGACTAGCCCCAAAAATAGCCCAAATAATCACTGTATAATAGTAGTTGTGAACACAGTGTGTCTCATTAAGTGCAGTATTATCATTTGTAGAATATAAATTGGGTAGAATGAAATATTTCAATACAAGCATAATTGGTGCAACGTGTCAAACCATTATATTTAGATTTACTCTCATTGTATCAAATGTTACCATTTACAACATTTTTGCAGTGCTTAACATTTCCATTCATCTACTCTGCAAACATATGTGTGATTGGTTGCAATAGCAAACGCAATAGCAAATCACCAAACCAAAATAATGTTAGTGACCAAATATGCAATTATGTCCGGCAATTTTACTGATTTCTAACAGTGCGCTCTATGGACCAGTTTGGATGTGTAATCTATATAAAAAACACAACATGCAGTTACCCACAACAAAAAAGTATTTTAATGTAAATACATTTGAATGTAATCACAATTTCAATATCAAGGGAAATAATCAACAATTAGGATTTTTGCCATAGTCATGCAGCCATTTGAGAAATCCCATTTTACAGTTGTTCTCAGGGTTGCCAGATCAGCGGAACAAAACCAAGCCACTGGCCAATAAAAACTACTTCAATGACTAGCCCCAAAACTAGCCCAAATAATCACTGTATAATAGTAGTTGTGAACACAGTGTGTCTCATTAAGTGCAGTATTATCATTTGTAGAATATAAATTGGGTAGAATGAAATATTTCAATACAATCATAATTGGTGCAACGTGTCAAACGTTTAACCCACAGGGAAAAAATCCTGCCAATGGTTTAAAAGTAGCCCAATTCCTTGCGAAAACCAGACTTGGCAACCCTTGAGCATGTGCACTTAGACAGGCTCTTACCACATTTAGTAGAATGGGAATGCACGTTTCCCCATCCTCCTTCTTTCCCTGGTTCACTGGATTCCCCCCAACCATCAAACGATTTCCCCCAAGCAGCTGTACTGCTGTCCATGGAGGAATCGGAGGGACCACTGCTGCGTGCCCATGTCGCAGGAACTGGAATGTGAACATGTGTTGATGAATGGGATGTTTCTGATTTGAAATGGTTTAACTGCTTCAAAATGCACTGCCGCCTTCTTACCAGAAGTTTTAGATGGAGCTCCAGCCTGTCTCCCAGACGACTGCTGTTGGTCCTGTGAGCTGTTCTTATCCCACAGACTGACGGCCCTGCTGTTGTAGCGTGACGGATCCCCCCATGCAGATGTACCGTCGTCAATTTCCATCTTCCGGTTGATGGACTGTGGCGAGGGTTCCTCCCACCCACTTGGCTCTACAACTGAAGGCATCTGAGGGATGGGCCCACAGGTCCACCCAGACCCTTTACTCTGGTCGTCTGTCTCTCCTGGACGACCCTGATCCTGCAAGGCTTTCGGATATCCCGGCATTTGCTGCTGGGTTTGTGATTGCTGCAGCGGTTGTTGATTTTGGGTTTTAAGTGCTGCTTGTTTGTTTGGTATCCGTGATGGAAGAAGCTTCTCACCCCATCCCTGGTGCTGTTTGACACTGCTGCCTCCCAAGCCACCACTCCGCTGTCCTGACCCTTCCGGGCTGCCCCATAATCCTTCATCCTGATTCTTGCGGTCACCGTCTCTCTCTTCATTCCAGCCTCCACCCTCGGGTAATGGAGTCCACTCACTTCCACCACCCTGGTTCCACTCCGTCCCTTCATTCCTGGTAGTATCTTCAACCTCCTGGCTTTCTCCCCAACCGCTCCCTTTGCGACTATTCCCAACGCTTGTTTCTCCATGCCCAGTCCACCCTTGAGCTCTTCCCACCTGGCCAACCTCCTGCTTCTGCATTTTGGAGCTGGAAAGGTCACCTGCTTCCCGCCAGCCTTCCTTACTACGGGCGGTGTGCTCTTCTACATCCCAGCCAACATTCCCACTGTCACCCTCAAAATCCCAGGAGACATTCTGCTTGATCTGGGTCTTGCCCCATCCTGTGTTGCACAGTACTTTAGGATCCAGGTTAGTGTGATTGATCATGGTCTGTAAGGCTTCCTCTGGGGGGAGGGCCTGACATTTGGAGGGGCTTTGGACCAGATTTTTGGCATCCTCATTGCGTTCTCTGCCAGTTAATTTTCCATTAGATCCATTCCAATCATCATCTGCTTTCTGATTGTCGTCTTCTGATGCCATGCTGTTCGCAAACACTGAAGAGTCCTGTAAACTATCTGTGCTTACCTCAGAGATCTCGCTCACATCCTCTTTTGATGCTCCAGCCGCTGAGTCTGAGGTCCATCCTGTAGCTGCCTGTTTGTTTGAACCTACCGTGTCTCTGTTCAACACTTCCTGAGAGATGCCAGTGCCATCACCAGAACTTCCACCTACTGCATCACTGCTCTTCCCAACAGGGTCTTCTCCTGTATCCCACACTTCCTTATTGGAGACTCCATCATCTCCACCACCATTTGGTCCAGCTTGAAGCTCTGTCCAATCCCCTGTAATGCGCTCTTCGTTCTTGCAGAGTGTCTGGTACTGTGCACTGGCTGGACTCAAGGGTGTGGGAGAAGATTCCTCAGAAGCAGGGTGGAATAAGAGATTTTGACTGGAGGCTGCTTCATCGGGGTTGTAATTTGGATTTAGACCTTGAGTGCCCTCCTGGTCTCCAGAAAGCAGCGGCACCTTGGAATTTAAGTCTTGATTGACACCTTTAATGGATTCTTTATTCTCAGAGTGTGAAGACGCACCTCCTATCGCACTGGCTTCTGCATATTCAGAGAGTTGAGAAGAACTGTCCTTTCCCAGGCCGTCAGACTCATCCATCCCCGAACTGGGAGAATGTGGAGTCTGATCACTATTCCATGAGTCTTCCGGTCTTGGCCATTTCTCAACATCAGAATTATCCTTGTCCATTCCCTGAGCGGAGGGTTGACGTCCTGAGCCCAGCCCCCATGTGTAATTTGCATAAGTGGGAGTGGCAGAGGTGTCAGAAGATGAGTGCAGAGAAACTGAATCTACTGTAGGATCTGGAAGAGAAAAATACACTACATCAGAAAAGAATAAAAGCCAAAAAAAAACAACAACCACATGATTTCCCCCCCCCCCAGAAATTATACTTTTGTTCAGCAAGGATGCATTAAATAGATCAAAATTGACAGTAAAGAAAAATCACAATATTCTACCCCTTACATGGAGATTTACTAAGTATTATAAAAGAACCACACAGCTCTGTTGAATTCATTTTATTAGGTCCTGTATCCAATCATTTTCTTTTCATTCGCCCCACCTGAGTCATCAGCTTGCTCCTGCAGGGGAAGTTGGGGCATGGTGTCCCCTCCGTTTCCGCCCCCCAGCAGCATGCAGGACAGTGGCGGCTGGCCCCTCTTCAGTAGCACTTTTGGTTCCTGTTGGTTGCGGAAGCGCGGGGGCACCTCACGGGGCATGTAGCGCTGGGACACCGCGGAGGGGGGCTGTCCGTTGGCCACAGTGGTCCACTTTGCATTGTTCCCTCCCTCAGGGGGGTCCGATGAACCCCCGACAACAGGACAGGGGGAGTTTTTTTCGTCTGGACCAGGTCGTAATGAAGCAGAGGTAAGGGTTACGAGGGATGCAGGAGACGGAAATGAGCCCAATTCTAAAAGGAGCAGAGCGGTTAAGAAGAAACAAAGTAAAAAAAAAAAACATAGCAATGGATAACATTTCTTAAAATGAGTTTTACATAAAGACAGAACATTTCTGAAATCTGAACTAAACTCTCACTGCACAAACGCAGGAAGTGATGTGATGCATCCTGATAAAGCACAACAGCGACTGCTCACTCATAAACATATCTAAGTTAAATTTTCAAACCTTGGACCAAACCAACACAGAACTAAAAAATTAGATAAAAACTAGTGATGCACCGAATTTTCAGTAACCAAAAATATTCAGGCAAACAGAAAAGAAAAAAAAAGTTTTAGGAGGCGAAACCATTGAGTGAACTGTTTATTAAACATGTCAGCAATGACAACACACTCCAACATGATCAAAAATGGTTTTACAGGGTTTAAAGTGACAGCAGCCTATACTGCGCTCCCTCTTGTCAATGTCATTAACGTTAATCAAACAACAAAAGACAAATAGAAAATATATCACTGCACTTGGCCAAATAACTCTTGTAGCTTTAACAAGTATTAATCTATATTTAATTTATATAGTGAAAAACTTTTTTTTCTATGCAGATGCAACAAATTCACCCCACTAACTCTAGTGATTAATTCTTTCCAAACAAAGCTATTCCTCTGGTGACAATACCTGTATTTATTCATACTGTATAAATACACATTTATTAAAAATATTGCAATGTCTGTTTTTTCCTAATATCTTGCAGCCCTACTTTGAATTTCAATATAACGCAGATCAATATAGTACAGTGTTTCCCACAGTATTACACTCTATGTGTGGCGGCACTTCCCCTGAGGGAAATATATATGTTTATAATATAAATATAAAACAGCAGACGGGCTTATTGAAAGTGCAAATTAATTATCTGCCAGCAGGAGGTGCTTTAAGAGCGGCAGAAATAGCGGTCTCCCCGGTAACGGCTGTACAAAAAACAACACTGCGCTCATGAACGCTGCTTTATCAGGCATTATAGGAAAGATTAAATGAAAATGACATCAAAACTTTTCTGAAGACAATCGGTTTCCTTCAAAAAAAGATACATTCGTATAAAAACAACCGTGCCACGCTTTGACTTTGAACCGTGCAGAGCTCATGTTTATTCAACGAAGTCAAAGCCTTTTGGAAAATCTATTTGTGGTGGACAGTGCAGTAACAGAGACTTGTACTGTATTATTGATTGTATAGCCTATTCAAATAAATTTCTGATACTAATACCAGATAGGCTATATGTTCATGTTTACATATATTACATATAATTACGTACATAAATAAATATATTATGTGTTGGATCAGTTACTCGTGTCGGCAGTGTGCAGCCGACACACCCACCTTAAAGATTTCAATATATTGCTAATCCTGTCCAAAAAAAGACCATAAACATTGCAGATAACACACATCTTATAAAAACAAATCCCATGTGACTGATACACTTCAAATCAGGTGATTTTAGGTCAGTTTTTTGACTGTCAGACAGTGATGCTCTCTGCTGGTAGGGAATAGTAAGATCGATGACAGCTCGAACACTTCTGGTGGTTTCACCGCCTGACGGCAGTTTAGAACGTAATGAGCGATCCAGTAGGGTTGTGACGGTGAGGAAATTTTCCCACCTGTTAATCAACGTGTGACAACACTGGTAATACCGGTATCACCGCGGGGGCGAGGCGTTCCCTCTTTTCCTCACTTTCCTTCACTTTTAAATATTTTGTAAAGTGCTGTGCACATTTTACTTTCACTTTTAAATAGCGGCAATTCGGAGTAAAGCAATTGTTTGTTTGAATTTTCCCTCTTTTCCTCGCTTTTAAATAGCTTAAAAGCGCCGTGCGCATCAATTAACGGCAGTTAGGCGTTAATTGCTTGAATGCAACCACAAAATACAACGCCAAACTCACTTTAGCGTATATATATAAAACATAGAACTTGTATTAACATATACACCATGCTATAGGGCAGGCTATGTCTAATATAAAATAACAAATAACTTACATAAAGTTTATATGTACAAAACTGGAAACAAGTAAACATGTATAATATATAACCAAATAAATAAGAAATGTAGAACGTTTATTAGCAAAACGAGTAAGAATGCTTGGAGGCACGGCATACACCTTGATGTCAAATAAAATAAATAAATGACAGTTTAAATAAAGTAAAAATCAGCAAACAATGTGGAACCAATTAAATAAGAAACGAATGTTTAAAAAAACTTCCAAAATCACTTTAGATAAACGGCAAAAGTCAACAGGCTTTTCAAAATCCAAAATATTGCCAAACAGGCGCTTTTGCATCTCGTTTCGAAACTAAATCATCCGCGATCCTCTCGTCTGTCTCACCTCACTCGTCTCTTCTGTCTCACCTCGCTCGTCTTGTCTCTCCCGCATCTTGTCTCTCACCTCGCTCGTCTCGTCTGTCTCTCCTCGCTCGTCTCGTCTGTCTCTCCTCGCTCGTCTCGTCTGTCTCTCCTCGCTCGTCTGTCTCTCCTCGCTCGTCTCGTCTGTCTCTCCTCGCTCGTCTCGTCTCTCCCGCATCTTGTCTCTCACCTCGCTCGTCTTGTCTCTCACTCGTCTTGTCTCTCACCCCGCTCGTCTCGTCTGTCTCGCCTCGCTCGCTCGCTCGCCTCGCTCGCTCGCTCGCCTCGCTCGCTCGCTCGCCTCGCTCGCTCGCTCGCCTCGCTCGCTCGCTCGCCTCGCTCGCTCGCTCGCCTCGCTCGCTCGCTCGCCTCGCTCGCTCGCTCGCCTCGCTCGCTCGCTCGCCTCGCTCGCTCGCTCGCCTCGCTCGCTCGCTCGCCTCGCTCGCTCGCTCGCCTCGCTCGCTCGCTCGCCTCGCTCGCTCGCTCGCCTCGCTCGCTCGCTCGCCTCGCTCGCTCGCTCGCCTCGCTCGCTCGCTCGCCTCGCTCGCTCGCTCGCCTCGCTCGCTCGCTCGCCTCGCTCGCTCGCTCGCCTCGCTCGCTCGCTCGCCTCGCTCGCTCGCTCGCCTCGCTCGCTCGCTCGCCTCGCTCGCTCGCTCGCCTCGCTCGCTCGCTCGCCTCGCTCGCTCGCTCGCCTCGCTCGCTCGCTCGCCTCGCTCGCTCGCTCGCCTCGCTCGCTCGCTCGCCTCGCTCGCTCGCTCGCCTCGCTCGCTCGCTCGCCTCGCTCGCTCGCTCGCCTCGCTCGCTCGCTCGCCTCGCTCGCTCGCTCGCCTCGCTCGCTCGCTCGCCTCGCTCGCTCGCTCGCCTCGCTCGCTCGCTCGCCTCGCTCGCTCGCTCGCCTCGCTCGCTCGCTCGCCTCGCTCGCTCGCTCGCCTCGCTCGCTCGCTCGCCTCGCTCGCTCGCTCGCCTCGCTCGCTCGCTCGCCTCGCTCGCTCGCTCGCCTCGCTCGCTCGCTCGCCTCGCTCGCTCGCTCGCCTCGCTCGCTCGCTCGCCTCGCTCGCTCGCTCGCCTCGCTCGCTCGCTCGCCTCGCTCGCTCGCTCGCCTCGCTCGCTCGCTCGCCTCGCTCGCTCGCTCGCCTCGCTCGCTCGCTCGCCTCGCTCGCTCGCTCGCCTCGCTCGCTCGCTCGCCTCGCTCGCTCGCTCGCCTCGCTCGCTCGCTCGCCTCGCTCGCTCGCTCGCCTCGCTCGCTCGCTCGCCTCGCTCGCTCGCTCGCCTCGCTCGCTCGCTCGCCTCGCTCGCTCGCTCGCCTCGCTCGCTCGCTCGCCTCGCTCGCTCGCTCGCCTCGCTCGCTCGCTCGCCTCGCTCGCTCGCTCGCCTCGCTCGCTCGCTCGCCTCGCTCGCTCGCTCGCCTCGCTCGCTCGCTCGCCTCGCTCGCTCGCTCGCCTCGCTCGCTCGCTCGCCTCGCTCGCTCGCTCGCCTCGCTCGCTCGCTCGCCTCGCTCGCTCGCTCGCCTCGCTCGCTCGCTCGCCTCGCTCGCTCGCTCGCCTCGCTCGCTCGCTCGCCTCGCTCGCTCGCTCGCCTCGCTCGCTCGCTCGCCTCGCTCGCTCGCTCGCCTCGCTCGCTCGCTCGCCTCGCTCGCTCGCTCGCCTCGCTCGCTCGCTCGCCTCGCTCGCTCGCTCGCCTCGCTCGCTCGCTCGCCTCGCTCGCTCGCTCGCCTCGCTCGCTCGCTCGCCTCGCTCGCTCGCTCGCCTCGCTCGCTCGCTCGCCTCGCTCGCTCGCTCGCCTCGCTCGCTCGCTCGTCTGTCTCGCCTCGCTCGCTCGCTCGTCTGTCTCGCCTCGCTCGTCTGTCTCGCCTCGCTCGTCTGTCTCGCCTCGCTCGCCGCTCGTCTCGTCTGTCTCACCTCGCTCGTCTCGTCTGTCTCACCTCGCTCGTCTCGTCTGTCTCACCTCGCTCGTCTCGTCTGTCTCACCTCGCTCGTCTCGTCTGTCTCACCTCGCTCGTCTCGTCTGTCTCACCTCGCTCGTCTCGTCTGTCTCATTAAATCTGATCTGTGATGCGACTGTCGTTCGGCACGCTACATTGAGCAGCCGCGTTCAGTTTTTAATTGTAGTGTCTGTTCTTTTACTGAACGAAATTATTTTTATTACTATAAAAATTCAAAACGACGGTGGGGGTCGGTGCCGCGGTGGGCAAGTGACGTAACCGGTGTTGCGGCTTAACACCGTCAGCACCGTCTATCGTGGCAAGCCTACAATCCAGTAATTTTAATCAAACGTCACTTACCCAAATCAAACACAAAAGCAAATGACTAACCTTTTGCGCCGTCTTCAGAGTCCTGTAATAAAAACAAACTGCTTGTCAGATGTTTGCATGCACATATGCAGCTAATGGATGTTTTCTGGAGTATGTACAATGTTAAACCCAGCCAAAGCATTGCCCACCTCCTGATGACTGCTGTCTCCCGTCTTATGGTGACTTATGGTGTCTTCCATGAACTGCTGCTCCTCTCCTGCTCCTGTGACACCACACACACATCACATTACTGCACTGTTTTATAGATAGACGCAGTGTATGTCCTGTATGCATGCCGTGAAAATCTTTGCATCAAGCCAGGTCATGAAGCAGTAAAGATTTTATTCTACTGTTTTTGTGTTAATACTTGCAAACTTTCTTTCACAAGCCCAATGCACAACATCACACTGATGGCAAATGGTAAAAAAATAAACAGATACATACATCATGGCACTGAACGATGACCATACTACGAGATTAGTTCTCTAGTGTACTTCAAAGACCAGTGTACTACACGAAATGAACTATCGGGTTTTGCCATAAAGCTGATTTATTTATCTCTCTGCTTGAACTTACCAAGCTAGCATGCTAATTATGGCGCATTCACACACACAAACGTTCAAACGCACAGACAAATATGCTTTGATATCACTTAAAGCAACTAGAAAAGGGTTACTTGGATCATTTCGGGCCACGAAAATGTATGTGAGTCTTCTACACATTTAATTATTCAGCGGATATCGATGGTACACAGATGAAGTGATCAAAACTAACTTAAATGCATGATGATACGTTCCTCGGAATTACAAAGACAGCCTTCAAACATGACTCTAACAGATTATTTCACATGTATACGTTTGTATGTTGCTGTTAGCGCGATATATGTTGTGTACGTTTGCAAATGTTTGAGCTTGTTTTGCTCACCTCAGTAAGTCCGGCCTGCAGCTGCGCACTGACGCCGCGCCGATCAACATCCGGGTATCAGGTCACATAAACACACACACACACACTCACACACACACACACTCACACACACACACACTCACACACACACACACTCACACACACACACACTCACACACACACACACTCACACACACACACACTCACACACACACACACTCACACACACACACACTCACACACACACACACTCACACACACACACACTCACACACACACACACTCACACACACACACACTCACACACACACACACTCACACACACACACACTCACACACACACACACTCACACACACACACACTCACACACACACACACTCACACACACACACACTCACACACACACACACTCACACACACACACACCGCTAAACAGGGGTACTAATAAAAGGTGCACCTGGTTCTTAAAATTCTTCGTATGTTTATTGATTATTCAGCTGCGGGCGCCATCTTCTGGCGAGATGCGGGAATTCATTCGGCACGTGACTCTCAGAGTGCAGTATGGCCATTCTCTAGCCGTTGAGCGTGCACCAGTTGTACACTCGTTTTTGCAGTGCATTGTGGGATTGAATGAGTGCACTCGAGAACGTCCACTATGGTTTCGGACACCACTAAAAATGGCTGTTCCCTCAAATAGTGCCCTATTTAAGGGTATAGGGGGCGATTTCGGACACAGCCCAGAGGTGTGGGGTGAGGTTAAAGGGATAGTTCACCCCAAAATGAAAATGTGATGTTTATCTGCTTACCCCCAGGGCATCCAAGATGTAGATGACTTTGTTTCTTCAGTAGAACACAAATTATGATTTTTAACTCCAGCCGTTGCAGTCTGTCAGTCATATAATGCATGGCAATTTAATGCATCTGGCGTAGTTTACGTTAATGGGTGTGTTGATATCCAGCCGAAGAGCAATCAAGCATAACTTCAGGCGAGCAGGCTCAGAAGTTGGGAATAGGCTACGTGGAAAGTTACCACTCCCGAATGAGTTTTCGCGAGAGAACGTAATCTTTTAGTTTTAAGTCGGTTTGAACAATCCGGATAAGCACAAGTACCATTTTGATTAGCCGTCGTACCTACAATGACTGTGCACTGTGTAAACAATGAGTGACGTATACGCACGCGAGATCACTTCCAGCGCTGTGTAAAACTACGCCAGAGCGCGTACACACCTCACGCACCGGATGCCTGCGCGCGCCCAAAGTGTTTGTTATTCATGCAACAATGCATATTGCTGTTATTGTTTTCATTAATAGCCATTGCTATATAGATGATAACGTTTGCTATAGTGCTCTTATTAATGTTTCTAGCATGACTTTGTGAAAACTGAACTACTATCCTGAATGAAATAGCATAGACTTTTCATGACTAGTGTTTGCATATTTAATTTAATTATGTATGTAACCTTGTTCTACAGATGTGTACTAGTGTTAAATGCTACTGTTTTTGATAGCGTTGAATGTTTCTGACAGAATTATTATTTTTTTTTCTCGTTTGCCTTATATCCAGCCTGGTATTGTATTGCCTGGTAGCCAGTCATGCCGGCGATGCAGTGTTGCCAGATATTTATATGAAAACAAATTTAAACATAATTAAGGGCGTGGCCACTTGAGTGACAGGTGGATTGCCGCTGCTGTCACCACCGTCGAGCTAGGTGGGCGTGGCTTCAGCAACCAGCTCCCGCCTCTTTGCCCATTTTCGATTATCCGGGAGTGACGCGCGGTGACGCACTGCCAAGATGGCGACGGCCGGCTCCGCCCACTTTTGAGCTTCAAAAACGCTCTTCAGAAACCTACGGGTGATGTCACGGACACTGCGTCCATGTTTTTATACAGTCTATGCTTGGACTAAAGCAGAGCACTATTATCGTCAATTATCAATAGAGACACACCGTTACTGGTTTCAAAGTAGTCAAATACTAACTATATGCATGTTAAAACAAAGTAATACTGTTTGTGTGCACTTTATAACTAGGTATGATAAGGTGTTTTACACACAGTATTAAACATTCATCTTCATTTAACTTCCGCCGTCAACTCCGATATGAATAATAATAATAATAATAAATAAATAAAAATAAATAAACTAAACAATTACACTTGCAGAAAGCACACACGCTGTGGCTAAATAATAAGCCTGATTAGGGGTAGTAAAGATCCATTTCCAAAAGCATAAACATTACTTGGAAAAAAATCATTTAAAAAGTTGTAATTACTCAGTTTGTGTAAATGTTAAATACAGTCAAAAAATGTTACAATTCTTTGTTAAATACAGTCTTATTTATCATATGTTCTCATTTTTTTATTGTTTTATTTTTATTGTTTTTGTAAAGTCATAGTTTTCTTATAATCCTGTTTTGATCTGTTTACTTTTCATAGTGTGATTTTTTGGAGAATTGTAACGTTTGTCCTATTAATATACTAGGGTAAGTTTGATCCTTAAACATCATTGTAATTACTAATTATGATATTAATATATGGAAACCAAAACAATTAAAAAACATACACAAATATATTGTCCCCATTTTTTAAATTTTTGTATATAATCACAAGTGAGATTTCAGTGATATTTTGATTACTGAACTAGGAAATATTCCCGGTTATCATTTCAGAAATCTGGTCACCTTACATCAGGGACGCTATTCTTGCAAACCTTCTAAACTTAATTATACATGCAGACAGTCGTATGAGGAGTTTTAAACAGCAAATGAGTTATTCAGAGAACAAATTTTATTTTTGAACATGATAAATTTACCGAGGTCCGGACCTCGGTGATCTCATACAGTGTTGCCAGGTACACAGTTTTCCCGCGGATTTGGGCTACTTTAACATTGTTGACGCAGGTTGATTTTCATGGAATTCATCCCTGAAATGCGAATTATACCAGGGGATCCCCGCCAAAAACATGTATTTTACCCCCGGAACGCCATTGGGCTAGTTTTGTGTAGCAATTTGGTGGGTTTTATTGTGAAAACCTGGTAACCCTGACCTCATAGCTGGCTAAGGCCATGAAAGTATGTACTCCATTTGTGAAAAATTCATATAAATGCTGTTCTTCTGAACTTATTCGTCAAAGAATCTGGGGGGAAAAAATGTATCATAGTTTTTATAAAAATATGAAGCAGCACATCTGTTTTAAACGTTAATAATATACTATGCCCTAAAGCAGGGATCCTCAAATCTGGCCCACAAGATCCACTTTCCTGCAGAGTTTAGCTCTAACCCTAATCAAACACACCGGAGCATACTAACTGTCTTCACGATCATTAGAAAATCGTCCCAATCATAGAATGTATAAAAACATGGACGTAGTGTCCGTGATGTCACCTGTAGTTTTCTGAAGAGCATTTTTGAAGCTCAAATTGGGCGGAGCGGGCCATCGAAAATGGGCAAAAAGGCGGGAGCAGGTTCCTGAAGCCACGCCCACCTAGCTTGACAGTGGTGACAGCAGCGGCAATCCACCGGTCACTCAAGGTTTATGAAAGTGACACTCCACAATACAATAGCAAAATATATAAATATATATAGTATTTTTATGTTACATTAATCAGTGTCTAGCACACCTTCCTGAGGAAAGGATATGGACCAGAAGACATTGCAATTACTAAATGATATTTAGACAGACTTAAAGAAGTTCCAGATCTATACTTGTGCTCTTATTATTTCAGTTATTTTGCCTTTAATGTAAATAAACATGTGCAAAATATACTTGCTCTTGTGAATTTATTTGGATGTTAATTACATTGTGCGAGCTGTCTCTTTAATACCGCGTGGTTTATATACATGTTGCTGCTGATTGGGCTGACATGTTTGACACACCCACCAAACAAGAGAAAACTCATCTCAAACCCCGTTGCACACTGTTTCCAGGAAACATGTTGTTCAAACCGGAAACCGTAGCAAAACGTTGTGCACCGGTTTGAGCTTGAACCTGCCCCAGGTCTTGTATTCTCTACTAATCAGCTGATGAGTGGGATCAGGTGTGTCAGATGAGGGAGATATACAAAATGTGCAGAGCTAGGTGACTTATAAGGACAGGTTGGGAAAGCTCTGGTGTGTGGTTGAGAGAAGCTGTAGAGCAGTAAATGGTTGTAGATTGTTGCAGAAGTTTTGCAGGGTTTCTGAAAGAGACGCTCAATTGACACCTGATCTTGTATGATTGCTCTTCATGGCTGTGATGGCGATTTCTGTTTTGAACATGTTTATTTTACTCCTTTTCTTCTTTGCTGTTGATGGACAAGGATTAGGACAGTTTGCTGTTGATAGACAGAAATCAGGGCCGTAAGTAATATTAATCTCTGAAGTGAATAAAAGTGTACTGCTCTGCCTTTTCTTTTTAGTCTTGTCTTTGGCAACCACTTTCTGTGAATGCACATCTACACAAATACATGTTCTGAGCGGAGTCCTTATGCTTTCTAAAGTTTAAATGTTTCCACAGGTTCTTCTTGTTGACATTTCCTGCAGTGATTGAGTCCAGTTCTCATGTCAAATTGTGTGCAAGTCTTCTGAAACCCAACGAGAGTCTCGCAATGACCATTTCTCTGCTTGATGACAAAAACATGACCACTCTACTTGTGCAGCAGAGCTCTCGGATGGCATTTCACCGCTGCTTTAGTTTCCAGGTCTGTTATCATGCATGTGAACCTTTTTGTCTAGTTTGATTGTGTATTAACATGATTCTCTACCTCTCTCTACAGGCTCCTCAAGTAGAAGGCGAATCGGTGCAGAAACTGAGGGTGGTACTTCAAGGGAGGTTCTTCAAAGTGACACGAGAGAGGAAAGTCATGTTCAGACGTTACCTTCCTCTGACCTTCATCCAAACCGACAAACCCATCTACAATCCAGGACAAACGGGTGAGCTGTGAATGACCTATGGATGAATATTAGGATTATAGAAAGTCCCTTATGGTATTAGTTGTAATGTGAACATTTATTGACATTTCTCATCTTTGCAGTTAATTTCAGAGTTGTTACCATGGATGCCAAATTTGTGCCTCTTGATCAAATGGTATGGCCTGGTCTTTTTTTTGACTGAGCTTTAATTTGAAAATTAAACTGCTTAAAAGCTTCAGTCCAATTTATTTATTTATTTATTTATTTTTCCAATGATACTTGCTGCATCAGTGTTTGAGTCCATGTCTAATATTGCTGTGTTTGTCTTACAGTACAGTCTGGTGGTTGTGGAGGTGAAGTCTTTTTACTTTTTACTATTACATTTAGCTTGGCGGTTTTTAATCTGGTAATTGTTTTACTAGGACAATCATAATAACCGGATCAGTCAGTGGACAAACGTTTCTTCAACGGGGTGGATATTGCAGCTTTCTCACAAGTTAAACCCCGAGGCTCAAGTTGGGATGTACACACTGAGGGCTTTTATTGGTGACCAAATGATCTCCCAGGTTTTTGAAGTGAAAAAATATGGTACCTAGTGTTTTTTTTTGTACGATGTGCAACCGCCCAAAATGAGATCTGAGGGTTTAGAGTTGTTTCTGGTTTTAGTTTTACCCAAGTTTGATGTGACTGTAACCACACCACAGATGTACAGTGTTGGAGATGTGGGACTGAAAATTGTAGTTTGTGGCAAGTGAGTGAAACCCTTTTTTTCCCTGATGCTGATTTCTCGTCTTGTGACTGATGTTAGTTGTTTATCTCCTTCCTTCCAATATTTTCCAGATACACATATGGGCAGCCTGTACCTGGTCAAGCACTGGTGGAAGTGTGCCGTGAGCCATTTCCATATGTTGTGATTCCAGAGGTGAAACGTCTGTGCCTGAATAAAACTGCTAAGGTATGTGACTACTGCTAGTTCTGAAGTTTTGTCTTCTGCATATGGCTGATTTTGATATGACCACTTGTGTTCTGCTACCAGATGAACAACACAGGCTATGCATCCCTTACTGTCAGTACGTCAGTGTTTTTCAACACCAGATTTGAGACTAGTCTGCAAGATTCATTTCTTGTTAACGTGAACCTCACTGAGGAGGGAACAGGTGAGCTATTGGCAGATTTGAACCAGTGACTCATGTTTACATGCTTATGTTTGTGGCTTTTGTTTTTCCTCCCAGATGTAGTGACGTCAAAATCCACAACTGTGTCCATTACGTTTGAAGTTGGCAAGGTCACGTTTTTGGAACTCCCAGGTTTATTTGCCTATGGATCAATGATTAACGGAAAAGTGAGTAAAGCTTCATCCTTATTAGACAGTCCTCGTTGGTTCCCTTTCCTAACCTTTATCTTTCCCAACAGATCTCTGCATCTTATTTCAATGGGACTCCAATCGCAAGCAAGGCAGTCTATCTCCTGGATAGTAGCCAATGGCCCAACAAACTGCTGCTGAATCTGACTACAAACATGAATGGACTGTCCGCTTTCTCCCTCAACACTGCTGATCTCCCTAAAGCTGATCTGAATCTGGTGGTATGATTTTTGGTGTTCATCCTTGTCTTTTTAAATGGATTTCTCTCTTGCAAGATACCAATTCTATTCATTTGTTCCTCAGGCAAGTGCAACTCCACAGGTCGTTTATAGTTACAAGTCCCCATTCTTCGGTTCAGATGCAAGGACTGTGTCTCTTTTCCAAACTGCTACTCCCAATAACCCAACCTTTAGTGAACTGACTATATTGAAGCTTGAGCAGCCACTGAAATGTGGTGCCAAGTATCCAGTGATGATCAAGTATTCTTTTGTTGGAGAAACTGGTGACTATAGTGCTGACATCATCTATATGGTGAGTGGATGCTTGTTTTGTTACTGCACTAGTCCACTTGTCTGGCACCACTGATGCACCAGTCTGGCTTGGTCTTCTGTCAGGTCTTATCCAGAGGAGTGATTGTTCTGCATGGATTTGAGAAGGTTGAAGCATGGGCTTCTAATACGGTCACAAGTGGCACGGTGTCGTTCCAGCTGTCAGTCAGTCTTGATATGGCTCCAGTAGTGCAGATTCTGGCCTTCTGTGTTCTGCCCAGTGAGAATGTAGTTGCTGCTAGTGCAACCTTTGACACAGAAAGGTGTTTCCAAAACCAGGTATTTGTACATCTAGCATCATGAGGGGTACAGTGACTTGTCCTACAGCGTGTGAGCTGGTTCTTGTTCCAGGTGTCTCTGCAGTTTTCTCCAGCTACTGCCGTTCCTGGTGAGGAAAACACTTTGACGGTCTCTGCTCAAGCAGGATCCTTGTGTGGCCTCAGTGCTGTTGATCAGAGTGTCCTGATCATGGAGCCAGGAAGACATCTAAGTGCTGAAGCGGTATCCTTGTGCCACTGATCAGATTCTGTTTGCAGTCATTAAACAATCTGGATTTGAGTACATTGTTGACATACCGATATGCCCCCTCCCCATTCTTCAGGTCTTCAGCTTGCTTCCGGTGCAATCATTATCAGATTTTCCATTCAGTGTTGAGGATGAACAGCAGTGCCTGAACGTTCGACCCCGTCGGGCTGTTCCTGCAGACCAAGCTTATGAATCTTTCAAGGTAGGTAACGTAATAATTTAGTGGCTGAATACTCATTGAGGTTATGTGTGTGTGTATATGTGTATATATGTATGTGTGTATATATATATATATAAAATTTCTTTTCATTTTTGCCTTGACAGAGTGTGGGACTGAAGATTGCAACAAATCTGCCTGTCAGAGAACCTCACTGCCTGACATACAGAGGCCTGGATTACTATCGCAACTTCCGTGATGGTATGTGTTTTAGGCTCTTGATCAAAGACTTGCCACATTACTTATTTTTAATGTAGTTAGTGTGTGTGTGTGTGTAATCCTTCCAGCCTTAATCCGTAAATTTTGCCTTTTGAATACACCTATGTATTTTGACCTCTCAGTTATTCAGGGCAAAGTGAACTTTCATCCTGGCCAACTTTAATCACCGTAAATAACGTTTTCCTTGCATTGTGCATGGACCTGATTTATCTAAAACGGATCATGGGGAATTGACAAACCTCAATTGGTTGCTGTAGTCCTAGTATTAACTGCTTATGGTTTCAGTGAACTCTTTTCGTCGTCCTGCTGCCTTGGCAATGGCTCCTGCTGCAGTAGCTGAGAGCGCTGAAGGAGAGCACAGTTCCCCTCTTGATGTGACCATCAGGACTTACTTTCCAGAAACATGGATCTGGCAACTTGCTCAAGTGGGGTCAGTGAAGGGTCTCTTTCAGTTTCAGTGGTTGATGCCATCTAAAGCCACTTTCCAAAGTGTTTTACCTGCCTCCCCTTTTTACTGTGTGGGTGTTTATTTATTTTTTTTCCCCTTCCCAGAGAGACTGGATCCACACAAGTTCCTCTCAAGGTTCCTGACACCATCACCACATGGGAGACTGGGGCGTTCTGCCTGTCCTCCAAAGGTTTTGGCTTGGCTCCTCCTGTTCAGCTGACTGTCTTCCAGCCCTTCTTCCTGGAGCTCTCCCTGCCTTACTCCATCATCCGTGGAGAGTCTTTTGAGCTGAAGGCCACAGTCTTCAACTATCTGTCCAAATGCATCATGGTCTGGGTTCAGTTATTTCTACAGTAGAATGGATCTGCCAAGAGGGAATGCCTCCTGTCTTTGCTAATTGTGCGTTTAATATTTATTGGCAGGTTCAAGTGAATCCAACTAGGTCCTTGGCCTTCACTCTTAGATTATTTAATGAGCCGTATTCATCCTGTCTCTGTGGCAATGGAAGAAAAACTTTTAAATGGGTCTTCACTGCTTCTGTTCTTGGTCAGTTTTGGGCTGTCTTTTTAAACTGTAGTGTATGTGAGGGGGAAAACTGAAGTGTATTCCTGTGTCATTGCAGGAACTTTAAATGTTACAGTCAGTGCTCGGGCTGTACAACCCCAGGGCAATGTGTGTGGCAATGAGATTGTGAGTGTGCCAGAGAGAGGACGAATTGATGTGGTCACACGAAGTCTACTTGCCCTGGTCAGTTTGTGTTAACCAGCCTTCTGGAGTTTGATTGTCATGGTGATTTTCTGATTTGGTGTTTGTCTTTGTAGGCTGAAGGACTTGAACGGACAAACACCCAGAGTTGGTTACTCTGTCCAAAAGGTTTGTGTGGGCTTTTTTTTTTTTTTTTAATTTTGTGGTTTTAAATTTTTAACCTAGTGCTCTTTGCTAATTCATCGTTTATTTGGCAGGAAATGTAGTTTCAGAAGATGTGAGACTGACGCTTCCTATAGATTTGATCCAGGGATCCGCCAAATGCTCAGTTTCAGTCCTTGGTAAAGTGGTTCACTGAGGGGAAACTGACTGTTCTGTAGGAGAAGTGTGTGTGTGTGTGTGTGTGTGTGTGTGTGTGTGTTGTGTTTTTTTTTTTTTTTTTTTTTTTTTTATATTATTTTCCCTTTCCCCCTGACCTTTCGATTTCTCTCCCTCCTCATAGGGGACATAATGGGTCGTGCACTAAAGAATTTGGCTGGATTATTAAAGATGCCATCAGGCTGTGGAGAACAAAATATGATCGTTCTTGCTCCCAATATTTACATCCTACAGTACCTGGACGTCACTGGGCAGCTCACCACAACCATCCGACAGACTGCCATTGGTTACCTTCAGAGCGGTACAATGACTAAATCTACTGAATATTTCAAAGTGTGCATACCAAGGACATTCGGCCCTATTCTTCCCATTTGAATGTCTAATTTGTTTTTGACCCGAACAGGATACCAAGGACAACTAAACTACAGGCACAGCGACGGTTCATACAGCACATTTGGCTACGATGAATCGAACACATGGTGAGTTTCATTCTGTTTTTCTAGTCTTGCGTATTGTTTGCGCAGTTTCTCATGAAGTTTCCTTCATGACCAGGTTGACCTCCTTCGTCCTGAGATCTTTTGGCCTAGCAAGGAACTTCATCTTCATTGATCCGAATGTTCTCCAGAGTGCAAAGGATTGGCTGTTTAGCAAGCAGGTCCCAGATGGCTGTTTTATGCAACAGGGAAATCTGTACCATAATGATATGAAGGTGTCAGGCTTTCTTTCAAATGAGTCATGACCAATAGACACTAGGTGGGACCATTCTTCTAAATGGTATATTGGCGTGTTTTAGGGTGGAGTTGGTGATAATGTGACCATGACCGCCTACATCACTGCATCACTGTTTGAAATGGACATCCCTGTTATGGTAATAGTCACCAGTAGCTATTACACCATGGCTCTGCTCGCCTACACCTTCAGTCTGGCTGGAGAGACCAGCACTCAAGCACAGCTTTTAAATGCCTTGGACAATGTTGCCATTTCTGAAGGTGAGATTGACTAGTCTCTCATTTGATATGTTTGGGTTCTTTGGCATCAACCTTCTGTCTCATCTTAAGGCACTAAGCTCCACTGGTCTCAGACTACATCTGGTGACACTCTGGCGGTGGAGATCAGCTCCTATGTGCTGCTGGCGGTGCTCTCTGTACAGCCTCTCACGACTGCTAATCTGGGCTATGCTAACCGCATTGTCAACTGGCTCGTGGCACAGCAGAATCCTTATGGAGGCTTCTCCTCCACCCAGGTGACTCTGACCACCAAACATGAACAGTAACCTCCATATCGGAGTGGAGGTTTTAATCTGGTAGTTGTGTTATAGGACACTGTGGTGGCTCTTCATGCTCTGTCAGTGTACGCCACTAAGGTGTTCAGCTTGGCTGGTTCCAGCACGGTTACCGTACAGTCCTCAGTGGTAGGAGGAGACTCTTATAGCTTTGATGTGAATCGGGACAACAGGCTGCTGTATCAGGAGAAGCCACTGAAGAGTGTTCCTGGCAGATATAGTGTTAGAGCAACAGGATCCACCTGTGTGTCTGTGCAGGTCTGCATCTTCACCTCCTATTATTTCTGCTTCTGTTGTGCTTATCCTAATTCTCCTTTTGCTTTGCAATCATAGGCTGTATGTTTCTACAACATCCCGGCACTCATTAAAGTAGCCAGGACACTGAGCATTGAAGTTAAGGTGACTGGAGACTGTGGACCACTTGGAGCCAATCTCATGTTGAACTTCACTGTGAAGTAAGAATAACTTTTGTCTTCGTCTTGAAACCAGCTCTTTTTTTTCTTTTTTTTTTTTAATTTAAAAAAAAAAAAAAGTGACGCTGCTTGTTCCTGTTGACTAAACCCATTAATTCCTCTACATTTAGATACAATGGAGCAAAAACAAGTACTAACATGGTTCTAGTGGACATTAAGCTGCTGTCAGGCTTCACCGCAGATACATCACTGGTTCGTATGTTTTAAGATGATTTGGAAAATCCCAAGATGCTTGAGGCTCCTTCAGATGTAAACTATGATATTTTCCTCTCAGCTTGGATCTCCAGCCCAATCTTTTGCCCCGCTAGTGGAACGGGTTGATGCTGGAGAAGATCATGTCCTAGTGTATCTGAAAGAGGTGAGACCGTATATTCACTAGCTGCCATTATTTCTGTGTGCTGTATATGTGCTACTGTTAATCCCTTCTGTCTTGCAGATTCCCAATGGCGTCCCCATGACCTACAAGCTGCAACTGCAACGGGTTCTTGTGGTGAAAAATCTCAAGCCAGCGGTCGTCAGAGTCTATGACTACTATCAGCCAAGTAATTTTTTTTTTTTCTTGTCACTTTTTGATCTCTCTGAATTCCATGTACAATGTAATTAAGTTTCTTTCCTGCTCCTCTTTCAGGTGATTCATTTGAGACCACATACATGTCCCCCTGTACATGATTGTTTCAGGACTCCGTACCGAAAACAAGAGCGAATAAAACCACTTGTATAATTAATAATTTGCTTTGTGTGTGTGGGTTGTTTTTTTGTTTTTTTTTGTTTGTTTTATAAATTAAAATCTGAAAAATGTTAGTCATGTTTTTCATTTGTTCAAACAAAACAAAAAATCAAGATTGACTTCATTTTTACGTTTGGGGACCGAAAATGAATCCACTGGAATATTTGATTTCTACATGTGGGTGGGAATGAAACGCCCCTCTCTGCTGATTGGTCAACCAAACATTACAAAGTCCTAAAAAATTAAAACGCATGCACACGCATAATAATAATCCTCTTCTACAGATTCTTAACGGGTTTTAGTTCTACTATTTTAAACAGCCAGATTAATGAATGGGTTGACACAAACTGTACCGAGGCAGACCCTTTTGGTCCTTTGGCATACCGCCTGTTTTATTATAGTATCCACCTATCAAAATCTGTCTGGCAAAGCTGCGTAACGCAGCGCGGGGAGAATGTAGCCTATTGTGGGGAAGTGCAGAACACTATTGGTTTATGTGAACATGTAGTCATAACTTTTTTGTTTTATACGATGTGTTTTGGACTATGGAGGAACTTATGACAGATATGAAAATAAATTTGTGTAATTTACAGCACATCTATTTTCTATTTTGAGATTTATTCATGGGGCACTTTATACAAATTAAGGATTTTTTGTTAGTTCTACTATTTTAAACAGCCAGATTAATGAATGGGTTGACACAAACTGTACCGAGGCAGACCCTTTTGGTCCTTTGGCATACCGCCTGTTTTATTATAGTATCCACCTATCAAAATCTGTCTGGCAAAGCTGCGTAACGCAGCGCGGGGAGAATGTAGCCTATTGTGGGGAAGTGCAGAACACTATTGGTTTATGTGAACATGTAGTCATAACTTTTGTTTTATACGATGTGTTTTGGACTATGGAGGAACTTATGACAGATATGAAAATAAATTTGTGTAATTTACAGCACATCTATTTTCTATTTTGAGATTTATTCATGGGGCACTTTATACAAATTAAGGATTTTTTTTTGTTGTTGTTGTATATCCCATTGTTTGTCCCAGAGTGCTTGTTTCACTGATTTACTTTAGTGAAATGCGAATTTGATGTCATGATTCTGAAGGTGAACTCGTTTGAGTTATAAGAACATATACAAACCCGGAAATAACACTTTAAACAATAAACCAGAGCTCAGTGTCAAAAGTTGACATTTATATTAAAATAATAAAAACAAATAATGATCAATATACAAACTGAATTAAATTGTCAACTCTATATTCATATTCAATGTTATATGAATATTTGTGTAAAAATGTATTCGAGTAATGTATTAGCCTCTAATTATAAGAGACATGGGTCTGTTTTAAATCCAAGCTAATATTTGAGCTTTGATTTTAGTTAATCTATTATTTGGTGCTGGATTTATTCACTGTTATTGTGCAGTTAATATTCTGCTCTTAAAAATGTTGTTCATTCTGTAACTAGTAGTAAAGAAGTTCATGTGTCGCTTGAACTGAGGTGCTACAGCTATATATGGCTTTTTAAAGAGTGGCAAAATGAGATTCAGTTGTATAATAAAATTGAAACTATTTGAAAGCTGAGACTTTCATGTTTAATTTGGTGAAGCACAAAGCTTATTGTGATTATTGAATGGCTGGCATTACAAATGTGTTTTATATATATATAGTGACATTTTGTTCACACATCAACAGATAACAGCACAGACTAAAATAATGATCTTCAAGAATCCATTTTTCAAATATAAATGTTGGTATTGTCAACCCAGCCCTGTAGTTCACAATGCTGACATGAGGTGAAGTCATTAAAGAGTGACTGGGAAACGATTATTTTTAATAGTTAAAACAAAATTGATTATATAAAACATACGTTGTAAATGTCCTAGTTAAAGAGAGTTAAACACTACAAGATTTGTGTCTTTCACAAAGGAAATAAAACTACATGACACATACATAAAAATATACATGCTTGTAAGTTTTGTTCATTTTACGTTCCTCACAAACACTGCAGTATGTTTAAAGTTGTGAACAAAAACATACTGAATTTTGAAGTAAAATATTTAAGTCCATGTTTGATAAAATGTGCAGACTTTGGCTTAAAGTATCATTCTGTGTTAAGCATGAACAGTCAAAATGGGCTCCCAGCTTGGAGATTAATCAATTTAATTAATCTTAGGCTGTGTCCGAAATCGCCCCTTATACCCTCATTCACTATTCCCTACATTAGGTCACTAATTCAGTTCACTAGAAAACTGAAACCGACTGAAAACGAGTAGTGAATTCGGACACTGAGTGCACCGGAAGGAATGCCACTTTTGCATAGTTTGTGCTTGCTGTTTATTAATAATTTGAAACTAGCAAACTAGCAGCTCCAGTAGTAAGATTAAAGGATTTATCTTGAACTCTGTCACGGAAATTATGTATAAACCCTAATCAAACAATTTAATAATCAATTTACAATTAATTTATACCCGTATTGTACATTATGTTGTATGCCATGGATGAGCGCTTTGTAAAAATGAACGGATTGATTATTCAGCTGCGGGCGCCATCTTCTGGCGAGATGTGGGAATTCATTCGGCACGTGACTCTCACAGTGCATTATGGCCATTCTCTAGCCGTTGAGCGTGCACCAGTTGTACACTCGTTTTTGCAGTGCATTGTGGGATTGAATGAGTGCACTCGAGAACGTCCACTATGGTTTCGGACACAGCCCTAATCAATCCCTCTGTATAATCAAGAGTAGGGGTGTCCAAACCTGCAGAGTTCTGCTCCAACCCTAATTATGCACACCTGATCCAGTTAATCAGTGTTTTCAGACTTTCCAGAAGCTTCAAGGCAAGTGTGTTGGAGCTTGTTCGATCTAAGATCTGCATCACAGGCCTTCAGGAGCAGGACTGGGCACCTGTGATTAAAAATGTTTTAATTTTGCCAACATCAGTGTTGATTGAGACTGATTGCAAGAAGCAGAAGAACAGCAAACAGTGGTAGACTGTAGCTATAGTTCAGCAGGGTTCAGGGTTCATGGCCGTGATGGAGATTTGTGTTTGGAAAAGACTCATTTTAGCCCTTTACTTCTTTGCTGTTGATGGACAGACATTAGGGCCATTCGCTGTTGATGGACCAAGATTGGGGAAGTTTGCTGTTGATGGACCAAGATTAGGGCCATTTGATGCTGATGGACAGACATTAGGGCCATTTGCTGTTGAAGAACCAAAGTTAGGGCCGTTTGCTGATGAAGAACCAAAATTAGGGCCGTTTGCTGTTGATGGAACAGGATTAGGGCCGTCTGCTGTTGATGGACCGAGATTAGGGCCGTCTGCTGTTGATGGACCGAGATTAGGGCCGTCTGCTGTTGATGGACCGAGATTAGGGCCGTCTGCTGTTGATGGACCGAGATTAGGGCCGTCTGCTGTTGATGGACCGAGATTAGGGCCGTCTGCTGTTGATGGACCGAGATTAGGGCCGTCTGCTGTTGATGGACCGAGATTAGGGCCGTCTGCTGTTGATGGACCGAGATTAGGGCCGTCTGCTGTTGATGGACCGAGATTAGGGCCGTCTGCTGTTGATGGACCGAGATTAGGGCCGTCTGCTGTTGATGGACCGAGATTAGGGCCGTCTGCTGTTGATGGACCGAGATTAGGGCCGTCTGCTGTTGATGGACCGAGATTAGGGCCGTCTGCTGTTGATGGACCGAGATTAGGGCCGTCTGCTGTTGATGGACCGAGATTAGGGCCGTCTGCTGTTGATGGACCGAGATTAGGGCCGTCTGCTGTTGATGGACCGAGATTAGGGCCGTCTGCTGTTGATGGACCGAGATTAGGGCCGTCTGCTGTTGATGGACCGAGATTAGGGCCGTCTGCTGTTGATGGACCAAGATTAGGGCCGTCTGCTGATGATGGACCAAGATTAGGGCCGTCTGCTGTTGCAGGACCGACATTAGGGCCGTCTGCGGTTGCAGGACCGACATTAGGGCCGTCTGCGGTTGATGGACCAAGATTAGGGCCGTCTGCGGTTGATGGACCAAGATTAGGGCCGTCTGCTGTCGCAGGACCAAGATTAGGGCCGTCTGCTGTCGCAGGACCAAGATTAGGGCCGTCTGCTGTCGCAGGACCAAGATTAGGGCCGTCTGCTGTCGCAGGACCAAGATTAGGGCCGTCTGCTGTCGCAGGACCAAGATTAGGGCCGTCTGCTGTCGCAGGACCAAGATTAGGGCCGTCTGCTGTCGCAGGACCAAGATTAGGGCCGTCTGCTGTCGCAGGACCAAGATTAGGGCCGTCTGCTGTCGCAGGACCAAGATTAGGGCCGTCTGCTGTCGCAGGACCAAGATTAGGGCCGTCTGCTGTCGCAGGACCAAGATTAGGGCCGTCTGCTGTCGCAGGACCAAGATTAGGGCCGTCTGCTGTCGCAGGACCAAGATTGGGGCCGTCTGCTGTCGCAGAACCAAGATTGGGGAAGTTTGCTGTCGATGGACCAAGATTGGGGAAGTTTGCTGTCGATGGACCAAGATCGGGGAAGTTTGCTGTCGATGGACCAAGATCGGGAAAGTTTGCTGTCGATGGACCAAGATCGGGGCCGTAAGTACCATAAATTAGCCTATACCAATGGTTCTCATACCTGTCCTGGAGTACCCCCAGCCCTGTGCATTTTGTATGTCTCCCTCATCTATCACACTTGATTCCACTCATCAGCTCATTAGGCTGCAAGACCTGAATTGGATTTGTCAGATATAGAGAGACATACAAAATGTGCAGTGCTGGCGGTACTTCATGGAGAGGTTTGAGACCCACTGGCCTATACTATAAGTGAATAAAAGTGCCCTGTTGTCTGTTCTTATGTTCATACTCTTGTCTATGGCAACCCCTTTCTGTGAATGCACACCAACACAAGTAGGCCTACATGTTCTGAGTTGATTCCTTATGTTTTTTTTAAATTAAACCTCTCTATATTTCCACAGGTTCTTCTTGGTGACAATTCCTGCAGTGATTGAGTCCGGCTCTGATGC